AGAGGAGAGGCGGATCAGACCAGTGGAAGACGGAAAACTAAGAACCTGACGAAGAGCCGAGTCAGGCAGTGGCAGGGACGCCTGTGGCTGCAAGTAGAAAAACGGTCAGCGTGGCACAATACCCGTACTGCCAGCAGCCCCAGCACATCCACTACCACCAGGTCCAGCACCTCCAGTACCTCCAGCTCCAACACCTGCAGTACTAGTACCTCCAGCACCACTAGCTCTAGCACCAGCACCTCCAGCACCAGTACCTCCAGCACTAGTAACTCTAGCACCTCCTACACCTCCAGCTCTAGCACCTCCAGCACCAGCAGCTCCAGTACCTCCAGCACCAGCAGCTCCAATACCTCCAATACCTCCAGCATCAGCAGCTCCAGCACCAGCAGCTCCAGTACCTCCAGCACCTCCAGCTCTAGCACCTCAAGCAGGAGCACCCAGGACTCCACCACCACTAAAACTCGCAGCACCCCTAGTCTCAGCACCCCCAGAACCAGCACCCCCAGAACCAGAACCCCCAGACTCAGCACCCCTAGAGTCAGCAACCTCAAAACCAGCACCTCCAGAGTCTGCACCCCTAGTGTCACCACCCTCAGCAGCACCAGAGTCAACAGCAACAGGCTGCGGAGGCGGTGAAGACGACCGAGGCGGAAAACTAAGAGGGGTCTCCAAGCGCAGGGAGCGGTGAGTAGTCGCCGTGTCGTCAGCAGCGGGGTCACCCCCCTCAGCTGGGCCGGAGGTGTCAGAGGAGACCTCTAAAGGCTCAACCAAAGGGGGTGGGTCGACCTGAGATACACCTTAAGGAGCAGGACCCTGTGAGGGGGAGGGGGTCTACCGGGGGGGGGACCTGGGACCAGGAAGAGGGGCGGCAGGGAGAATGGGGAAGACACGTGCGGGTGGAGACGGTAGAAGCAGACTGCCTCGTCAGAGGTGACGTCCTATGAGAACAAGACCCGGCTCGAGACAGGGTGGTAAAACTACCAGGGCGGGGTGTTGGTGGGGAAGCTGAGGAGGGTGCAAGAAGAGAGCTTGCCCGCAGTGGTATCGTGAACAACAGAGAGCGCGGCCCAGACCCGAAACGCCGACGCATCGCCAACCTCCCCTGTCCAATGCAGTGTAGGCGAGGTCTCTGGCACAAAGACACGAGGCCAGAGGTTGAGCTGATGTGTGGCGTATCGGATCGCAAACGACCACAGAAAAGGGGAGCAGCCGCATGGATCATGGAGGTGCGAGCAACCTCCATGACCAAGCCAATGCGACGCTCTGCAATCACATTCTGCTACGGAAAGGCCAGAAGCGTGAACGGCCGGGCGATTCACTCCGCACGACAAAAGTTCCGAAGGAGGCCGAAGGAAAACTCACCGCCTCTGTCGCGGGACCGGGAGGTCCTGCTGAAACAGCGCGCTCAGCTGGAGACAAAGAGCGATGATCCAGTCGATCAAAACACCGCGGACATCCACCTTGCTCCGCAAGAGGAAGAGCATGGTGTAGCGCGTGTAGTTCTAAAAAACCAGCAGAAAGTAGCGCTCCTGGTCCTGTCCACAGACGCGGGCTGGGCCCCACACGTCCATATGGAGAGTCTGCAGGGGAGCAGTGGTCGGCGGAAACGAGGAGTGAGGAGCGGCGTGCTGCCGCCCCTTGACGTAGGGAAGGCACGGCGGTGCAAGCGATTGCGGGAGTGGGGGCAGGGACATGGGGATGCCAGAGACAAGGAGACGACGCAAGCGTGACAGGGAGTGGTGACCAAGACGGTGGTGCCAGATGAGAGTCTGGTGCGAGAGTAGCCGGCACGAACAAGACGCAGCTAACTGACCTGACGCATCTACTTGACCCAACGTAGTTACCTGACCCGACACATCTACCTGTGCAGACTCTGTGGTCAATGCGTACAGGCCAGACCCAGGGCTCCGACTGAACGTGGCGAGGTGCTCGCCAGTGCGTGAGTCCGTATAGATCGCCACAAGCTCACCCCAAGGAGTAGTCACAGTGACAAACTGGTTTCTGGAGGACAGCATTACTCACCAAGTTCTAAAAGAACGAGGGGGGGTGGAATCCTGTGAGGGAGCCTGAGGGGGCTGCTGGACACGTGGGAACTGTGGAGGCATGTGCTACAACTGGGCCCACAGAGGGGTCAGCCAGAGAGACCGGACAGGTGTAGTGAGCGGTGTGACTGTGGTGCAGTCGCGGAAGAAGCAGCGAGTCGCGCCTGAGTCAAGCGTGAAGGTGTGCAAAGCCTTTACAGAAACTGCACCTGTGCTACCAGGCTCACAGGCACCTAGACTAGTAGCCTCTGCACTACCAGGGACGCGTCGCTAAGAAACCCACTCGAGGCTGCTGCAGTGAGAGGGTCTCCTGCTGACGCTGCTGCTGCTGCTGCTGTCCAGTATCTCCAGCACCATAACCTCCACCACCAAGACGGCCTTGCTGAATAACCCACTCACGAAGAAACTGTGGCGAGAGAGTCTCATGGCGACGAGACCGCCGCCGCTGTCCAGTACCGCCAGCACGTATGAAACCATAACCTCCACCACCAGGACGGCCTCTCTGAATAACCCACTCGTGAAGCTGCTGCGACGATAGGGTCTCCGGCTGACGCTGCTGCTGCTGCTGTCCACCGCGAGACACTGCTATGATTGTGATAGTGGCCATAACAGGCAGTGGCAGTTAGTAGCAGCGGCGCAAGGGCGTCAGAAGCGGCCGCTGTAGTTGCAGCTGTAGCAGTAGTGGTAGTCGCTGTAGGGGTAGGGCAGCGCATGGGCTGCAGGGCTGGGCAGCGCGCAGGCTGCAGGGCAGGGCGGCGCGCGGGTGCGGACAGCAGGGCAGTGCAGTGCGCGGGCTGCAGGGCAGGGCGGCGCACGGGCTACAGGGCAGGTCAATGCGCGGGCTGCAAGGCAGGGTGGCGCGCAGGCTGCAGGGTAGGACAGTGTGCGGGAAGCACTGCAGGGCAGCGCGCGGGCTGCAGGGTAGGGCGTGCGTAGGCAGCTCGCGCGTGGGCAGCGCGCGCGTAGGCAGCGCGCATGCAGGCAGAGCGCGCGTGGGCAGCGCAGGTGTGGGCAGGGCGCAAGCTGCGTGCGTATGTGGCGCAGGTCGCGCGCGGTGAGCAGGGCAGTGCGCAGCGAGCAGGGCAGCGCGCGGCGAGCAGGGCAGCGCGCGGCGAGCAGGGCAGTACGGGTAGCAGCGCAGCACGCACGGCAGCAGGGCAGCGCGCGGCAGGGCAGCGCAGAGCAAGGCAGCGCGATAGCGCTGGGCAGGGCAGGGCAGCAGCGCGAGGCGAGCAGGGCAGCACGCGTCGGCAGCAGCTCCTGGGGCAGTACGTACGGTGGGTGGGCTCTAACGGAGCGGTTCTACAAAGGGACCTGCTCTGAATACCATGACAGAAATAAAACGTAAAAATGGTTGACTAGTAGGGAAAAGTGAGTACAAGTACTAGGAATGACCTAAGGTGTTGTACTCCTTGAAGTACGCCCCACTACAGCCTAGAGATAATAAATTCAATTTGACAGTCCACCCTCATACACTAATGTACAGGTACGCCTCCAGTGAGCACTCCTGCAAAGTTTCCATATGTTTTGCTTGCTCCTTCCTTAAGCTGAAAGCTGGACAATCGCCATTGCTTTGTAGAGTTGTGACCATGGCCATTTGCCCCAACACAAGGAGCTCAATACACGATGAGAAGAGTTGGGAAGGAAGAACAAGGGTTACAAAATCTGATGTTGGGCATTCAACACACACCACCCAATCATAACTATTCATAAGCCTCAACGGTTCAATGCCAATCCTATCTACCCAAATGTACAGTGGTGGGAACACCATTCCTCTGCACCTCCACCCGGCAAATCAGCCGCTGCCCATCGCAATCAGAGTGACCGCCAGCACAGGCGCTCGGAGAGGATCGACCCGGGGTGGAGGAAAGATGGGAGGAGGCAAGAGGAGTGGAGGGAGGAAGAGGGTTGTGAGGATGGGAGGAGCCAGGACTAGAGGAGGGCGGATGGGGGGAGCGAGGGTGATGGGAGCCAGGAGGAGAGGGGGGGAAAGAGAGAGGATGTGGGTGGGAATTGGAGGAGGATGGCATGGAGAGGAGGCGGCGGAGGATGGGGTCGGAGAGACAGGTGTCGCTGGGGGTGGGGGACGTGGATGCGCCTGCACAATGGGTTTGGGGGGAACCGAAAGAGGGGGGTGGGGAAAGAGGGTGGTGATGGCGTGATGAGGTGACGGGGTGATGAAGTGATGAGGTTCTGCAGTACTCACCAGAAGCATCAACAACAGACGCCCAGCAGCAGCAGTGGCAGAGTGGAAGATGACGTGTGCGAGGCGCTGCTTGGCTTGAAGTGACCTGATGCAATGAGATGATGATGTTCAGCGGTTCTCACCAGGAGCAGACGCATTTGAAGCATCAGCAGCAGCAGCAGCATTAGCAGCATCACCACCAGAAGCAACAGCATTAGCACCACCGCCAGTGGCGGAGTGGAAGATGACATGGGCGAGGCGCTGCTTGGCCTGAGCGCAGCGCAGCTTGTACATCTCCCCCATGCCCTCCAGCAGCAGTCGATACACATGCACCCGCCGCTGCTGCCCTGTGCGCCACACCCGCGAGATGGCCTGTGGGGAGTGCAGGTGGGGAGGGGGGACGAAGATTGCTGCGGAGGGAGGGACAGCAGCCAATGAGTGTGCACCACCTGCTGCTGCTGCCCTGAGTGCCACACTCTGAGAACTTCCTGAGGCAGATGGTGGTTGGGGAAGAAAGATGGTGGGGATAACAATATAAGTGGGAAAGAAGGATGGTGGGACAAACAGGGTATTGAGAGCTCGAACAAACTTGGGGACCTACGGCCGTTTCCTGGATGAGTCAGCATTTGATGCTAAACAATGCTGCATCGGGTTGACATACCTGCTGGTCAGAATCCACCCTGCACCCGACCTGACAAAACACCTGATCATACACCTTACCCGGCACCTTACCCTGCACCTTACCCCGCACTTTACCCCATAACTGGCACCCCTCACACCTGCTGGTCAGAGGCCGGGTTCCAGAGAGCATCCAGCATGACGACTCGCGAGGCCGCGGTGAAGTCGATGCCCAGCCCGCATGCCTTCACGGCCGCCACCATTACCGCTGCTTGCGGCACCACCTCCTTCTGGAACCGCTCGAAGGCGTCGCTGCGCTGCGCCTGAGTCATGCTGCCGTCCACCCTCAACACCTGCTCGTCTTGTGTCCAGTTCCTGCCGGTCCAGACAAGAGATAGTGCACACATGAAAATTCCTGAAGCCCTGCAAATAGATGGGAGCAAATCGTCACCATCACCGTTGCTTGCCGCACCCTCTCCCTCTGTAAACCGCTCGAAGGCATCGCTGCGCTGTGATTTGGTCGTGCTGCCATCCACCCGCAACACCTGCTCGTCTCTTGTCCAGTTCTTGTTGGTTCAGATGGGAGGGAATTGGAAGCGAGGAGTTTTGAGGCGCCTCAAAAGAGGGAATTGGAAGCGAGGAGTGCGTGAGTGATAGAAGATTTCAAGGCTCAACTCTTGTCCAGTCCCTGCCGTTCAAACAAGTGATAGGGCGGAAGTGACGCGCTGCAAATAAAGTAAACACGCAGCACACTGCTCGTCTCCTGTCCAATCCATGCCAATTCAGACGACGCGGACTGTGAAGTGACGGAGTGCGCGAGAGATAGCGAAATTTGAGGTGCCTCAGACAAAGTCTTGTTTTGTTGCCTATCTCCCACCCAGCAGCCCTCACACGGTGTGGGAATGGAAGCTATTACTCACAGGGCATGGCACAGCGACCCCACCATGAGGTCTAGATGAACGTGCTTCTCTGCAAACACCACCAAACTTCTCGCCCATGCGCACACAAAATAAGACATGGGATGCCCTGTCCTACCTTGTTGCCAAACTCTCACCCAGCAGTACTCACATGGCATGGCACACCGACCCCACAACGAGGTCATGCACGTGCTCCTCCGCAAACACCACCACCTTCCCTGTGCGCACATAGAATGGGATACCCCATGTCCTGCCCCCATCTCCCATCCAGCATCACTCACAGGGCGTGGCACAGCGACCCCACCACGAGGTCCAGGTGAACGTGCTCCTCTGCAAACACCACCACCTTCTCGCCCATGAGCATCGCCGTGCGCACGATCGCCACCACGGCTGCCAGCTTGGGGGACAGCTGCACAGCCTGCTGCTCCTCCATGGCCGCCCACGCTGGGCTCAGCGCCTCCCTGTTGCGCTCCAGACACCGCACCTCGTTCTGCACAACCCCGCCACGCGATTTGCCTTGCACTTTGCTTCCACCAGCGGCATCAGGGCTACCACCCAGAGATTTCCCACCCTCTCCTCCTCCTGCTGCTCCAGCTGCTCCAGCTGCTGCTGGTGCTGCTGGTGCCGGTGGTTGAAATTGTCGCATGGCGAGCATGGCTTGAGGCATGCCTCGGATGCCGCGGTTGAGCTTCCAGGCAAAGGCGCAGGGGTGCACGCACAGGCTGCTCACGATCTTGAGATCGATCATCGACAGCTGCCACTCCGTGCCGCCGCCGCCGCTGCTGCTGCTGCTGCTGCTGCCACCAGTGATGCTGCCACTGGTACCAGTGATGTTGCTGCTGTTGCTGTTGTTGTTGCTGCTGTTTTTGGTGTTGCGCAGCAGTGCCTGCTGCTGCTGCAGGTGTTGCTGGGCGAGGCGGGGAGCAACTGTGGCGGAGTAGAAGGCATGCAGGATGGCCAGCTGGAGAGGCGTGGGGTGCAACAGTAGTGTCACGTCCACCAAGTCTGGAGGGAGGCGGGTCAAAGGCACAGGGAGATTATCAGCAGCGGCATGCTATAAAGGCATGCAAAAGGAACATGGCAAAGCATGTGCAATTTAGCATAACAATTCTTTTTTTTGGGATGTGTATATTAATATTATTATTATTATCATTATTCCGCGTTCTTCTTGCCTTGCATGTTCCTTGCTTTCCTCTCTGAACCGGCCCATCTCTCATACCTCTCGGCTAGCCCTGGAACCCTCCTGCTGCCATGCGTCCTTCACAGCGTACATCTCAGCCGGCCCTCATACCACCCTAACCGTACCTCGCAGCTTGCCCTGCATCACGTTGCCATCTGTCTGCACAAGACGAGGTCAAACATGAGCTCTTTCAGCCGCTGCGGCTTTGAGCTCTGAGGCACCTCACAATATACCTCTCAGTCCACCCTCATACCACTGTAGTCGTACCTCTCAGTTAGCCCTGCGACACATTGCAATCTCTCACTCCTACCTCTCAGTTAGCCCTGCGACGCATTGCAATCTCTCAATTATACCTCTCAGTTAGCCCTGCGACACATTGCAATCTCTCAATCCTACCTCTCAGTTTGCCCTGCAACACATTGCAATCTCTCAATCCTACCTCTCAGTCTGCCCTGCGACACATTGCAATCTCTCAATCCTACCTCTCAGTTTGCCCTGCGACACATTGCAATCTCTCAATCCTACCTCTCAATCTGCCCTGCAACACATTGCAATCTCTCAATCATACCTCTCAGTTAGCCCTGCGACACATTGCAATCTCTCAATCCTACCTCTCAGTTTGCCCTGCGACACATTGCAATCTCTCAATCATACCTCTCAGTTAGCCCTGCGACGAATTGCAATCTCTCAATTATACCTCTCAGTTAGCCCTGCGACACATTGCAATCTCTCAATCATACCTCTCAGTTAGCCCTGCGACGCATTGCAATCTCTCAATTATACCTCTCAGTTAGCCCTGCGACACATTGCAATCTCTCAATCCTACCTCTCAGTTTGCCCTGCAACACATTGCAATCTCTCAATCCTACCTCTCAGTCTGCCCTGCGACACATTGCAATCTCTCAATCCTACCTCTCAGTTTGCCCTGCGACACATTTCAATCTCTCAATCATACCTCTCAGTTTGCCCTGCAACACATTGCAATCTCTCAATCCTACCTCTCAGTTTGCCCTGCGACACATTGCAATCTCTAAATCCTACCTCTCAATCTGCCCTGCAACACATTGCAATCTCTCAATCATACCTCTCAGTTAGCCCTGCGACACATTGCAATCTCTCAATCATACCTCTCAGTTAGCCCTGCAACACATTGCAATCTCTCAATCCTACCTCTCAGTTTGCCCTGCGACACATTGCAATCTCTCACTCCTACCTCTCAGTTAGCCCTGCGACGCATTGCAATCTCTCAATCATACCTCTCAGTTAGCCCTGCGACACATTGCAATCTCTCAATCCTACCTCTCAGTTTGCCCTGCGACACATTGCAATCTCTCAATCCTACCTCTCAGTTTGCCCTGCGACACATTGCAATCTCTCAATCCTACCTCTCAATCTGCCCTGCAACACATTGCAATCTCTCAATCATACCTCTCAGTTTGCCCTGCGACACATTGCAATCTCTCAATCATACCTCTCAGTTAGCCCTGCAACACATTGCAATCTCTCAATCCTACCTCTCAGTTTGCCCTGCGACACATTGCAATCTCTCAATCATACCTCTCAGTTAGCCCTGCGACGCATAGCAATCTCTCAATTATACCTCTCAGTTAGCCCTGCGACGCATTGCAATCTCTCAATTATACCTCTCAGTTAGCCCTGCGACACATTGCAATCTCTCAATCCTACCTCTCAGTTTGCCCTGCAACACATTGCAATCTCTCAATCCTACCTCTCAGTCTGCCCTGCGACACATTGCAATCTCTCAATCCTACCTCTCAGTTTGCCCTGCGACACATTGCAATCTCTCAATCCTACCTCTCAATCTGCCCTGCAACACATTGCAATCTCTCAATCATACCTCTCAGTTAGCCCTGCGACACATTGCAATCTCTCAATCATACCTCTCAGTTAGCCCTGCGACGCATTGCAATCTCTCAATTATACCTCTCAGTTAGCCCTGCGACACATTGCAATCTCTCAATCCTACCTCTCAGTTTGCCCTGCAACACATTGCAATCTCTCAATCCTACCTCTCAGTCTGCCCTGCGACACATTGCAATCTCTCAATCCTACCTCTCAGTTTGCCCTGCGACACATTGCAATCTCTCAATCCTACCTCTCAATCTGCCCTGCAACACATTGCAATCTCTCAATCATACCTCTCAGTTAGCCCTGCGACACATTGCAATCTCTCAATCATACCTCTCAGTTAGCCCTGCGACGCATTGCAATCTCTCAATTATACCTCTCAGTTAGCCCTGCGACACATTGCAATCTCTCAATCCTACCTCTCAGTTTGCCCTGCAACACATTGCAATCTCTCAATCCTACCTCTCAGTCTGCCCTGCGACACATTGCAATCTCTCAATCCTACCTCTCAGTTTGCCCTGCGACACATTGCAATCTCTCAATCCTACCTCTCAGTTTGCCCTGCAACACATTGCAATCTCTCAATCCTACCTCCCAGTTTGCCCTGCGACACATTGCAATCTCTCAATCATACCTCTCAGTTAGCCCTGCAACACATTGCAATCTCTCAATCCTACCTCTCAGTTTGCCTTGCGACACATTGCAATCTCTCAATCCTACCTCTCAGTCTGCCCTGCGACACATTGCAATCTCTCAATCATACCTCTCAGTTAGCCCTGCGACACATCGCAATCTCTCAATCCTACCTCTCAGTCTGCCCTGCGACACATTGCAATCTCTCAATCATACCTCTCAGTTAGCCCTGCAACAAATTGCAATCTCTCAATCCTACCTCTCAGTTTGCCCTGCGACACATTGCAATCTCTCAATCCTACCTCTCAGTCTGCCCTGCGACACATTGCAATCTCTCAATCATACCTCTCAGTCTGCCCTGCGACACATTGCAATCTCTCAATCATACCTCTCAGTTAGCCCTGCAACACATTGCAATCTCTCAATCCTACCTCTCAGTTTGCCCTGCGACACATTGCAATCTCTCAATCCTACCTCTCAGTTAGCCCTGCAACACATTGCAATCTCTCAATCCTACCTCTCAGTTTGCCCTGCGACACATTGCAATCTCTCAATCCTACCTGTCAGTCTGCCCTGCGACAAATTGCAATCTCTCAATCATACCTCTCAGTTAGCCCTGCAACACATTGCAATCTCTCAATCCTACCTCTCAGTTTGCCCTGCGACACATTGCAATCTCTCAATCCTACCTGTCAGTCTGCCCTGCGACAAATTGCAATCTCTCAATCATAACTCTCAGTTAGCCCTGCAACACATTGCAATCTCTCAATCCTACCTCCCAGTTTGCCCTGCGACACATTGCAATCTCTCAATCATACCTCTCAGTTAGCCCTGCGACACATTGCAATCTCTCAATCATACCTCTCAGTTAGCCCTGCGACACATTGCAATCTCTCAATCATACCTCTCAGTTAGCCCTGCAACACATTGCAATCTCTCAATCATACCTCTCAGTTTGCCCTGCGACACATTGCAATCTCTCAATCATACCTCTCAGTCTGCCCTGCGACACATTGCAATCTCTCAATCATACCTCTCAGTTAGCCCTGCAACAAATTGCAATCTCTCAATCCTACCTCTCAGTTTGCCCTGCGACACATTGCAATCTCTCAATCCTACCTCTCAGTCTGCCCTGCGACACATTGCAATCTCTCAATCATACCTCTCAGTTAGCCCTGCGACACATTGCAATCTCTCACTCCTACCTCTCAGTTAGCCCTGAGACACATTGCAATCTCTCAATCATACCTCTCAGTTAGCCCTGCGACACATTGCAATCTCTCAATCCTACCTCTCAGTTTGCCCTGCGACACATTGCAATCTCTCACTCCTACCTCTCAGTTAGCCCTGAGACACATTGCAATCTCTCAATCATACCTCTCAGTTAGCCCTGCAACACATTGCAATCTCTCAATCCTACCTCTCAGTTTGCCTTGCGACACATTGGAATCTCTCAATCCTACCTCTCAGTCTGCCCTGCGACACATTGCAATCTCTCAATCATACCTCTCAGTTTGCCCTGCGACACATTGCAATCTCTCAATCATACCTCTCAGTTAGCCCTGCAACACATTGCAATCTCTCAATCCTACCTCTCAGTTTGCCTTGCGACACATTGGAATCTCTCAATCCTACCTCTCAGTCTGCCCTGCGACACATTGCAATCTCTCAATCATACCTCTCAGTTTGCCCTGCGACACATTGCAATCTCTCACTCCTACCTCTCAGTTAGCCCTGAGACACATTGCAATCTCTCAATCATACCTCTCAGTTAGCCCTGCAACACATTGCAATCTCTCAATCATACCTCTCAGTTTGCCCTGCGACACATTGCAATCTCTCAATCCTACCTCTCAGTCTGCCCTGCGACACATTGCAATCTCTCAATCATACCTCTCAGTTAGCCCTGCAACACATTGCAATCTCTCAATCCTACCTCTCAGTTTGCCTTGCGACACATTGGAATCTCTCAATCCTACCTCTCAGTCTGCCCTGCGACACATTGCAATCTCTCAATCATACGTCTCAGTTTGCCCTGCGACACATTGCAATCTCTCACTCCTACCTCTCAGTTAGCCCTGAGACACATTGCAATCTCTCAATCATACCTCTCAGTTAGCCCTGCAACACATTGCAATCTCTCAATCCTACCTCCCAGTTTGCCCTGCGACACATTGCAATCTCTCAATCCTACCTCTCAGTTTGCCCTGCGACACATTGCAATCTCTCAATCATACCTCTCAGTTAGCCCTGCAACACATTGCAATCTCTCAATCCTACCTCTCAGTTTGCCCTGCGACACATTGCAATCTCTCAATCCTACCTGTCAGTCTGCCCTGCGACACATTGCAATCTCTCAATCATACCTCTCAGTTAGCCCTGCAACACATTGCAATCTCTCAATCCTACCTCCCAGTTTGCCCTGCGACACATTGCAATCTCTCAATCATACCTCTCAGTTAGCCCTGCGACACATTGCAATCTCTCAATCATACCTCTCTGTTAGCCCTGCGACACATTGCAATCTCTCAATCATACCTCTCCGTTAGCCCTGCAACACATTGCAATCTCTCAATCCTACCTCTCAGTTTGCCCTGCGACACATTGCAATCTCTCAATCCTACCTCTCAGTCTGCCCTGCGACACATTGCAATCTCTCAATCATACCTCTCAGTTAGCCCTGCAACACATTGCAATCTCTCAATCCTACCTCTCAGTTTGCCCTGCGACACATTGCAATCTCTCAATCCTACCTCTCAGTCTGCCCTGCAACACATTGCAATCTCTCAATCATACCTCTCAGTTAGCCCTGCGACACATTGCAATCTCTCAATCCTACCTCTCATTTTGCCCTGCGACACATTGCAATCTCTCAATCATACCTCTCAGTTAGCCCTGCGACACATTGCAATCTCTCAATCATACCTCTCAGTTAGCCCTGCGACACATTGCAATCTCTCACTCCTACCTCTCAGTTTGCCCTGCGACACATTGCAATCTCTCAATCATACCTCTTAGTTAGCCCTGCGACACATTGCAATCTCTCAATCCTACCTCTCAGTTAGCCCTGCGACACATTGCAATCTCTCAATCATACCTCTCAGTTTGCCCTGCGACACATTGCAATCTCTCAATCATACCTCTCAGTTAGCCCTGCGACACATTGCAATCTCTCAATCATACCTCTCAGTTAGCCCTGCGACACATTGCAATCTCTCAATCCTACCTCTCAGTTTGCCCTGCGACACATTGCGATCTCTCAATCATACCTCTCAGTTTGCTCTGCGACACATTGCAATGTCTCAATCGTACCTCTCAGTTTGCCCTGCAGCACATTCCCATCGGTCTGCACGAGGTCGAACATGAGCGCCTTCAGCCGCTGCACCTTCGCCAAAGGGAACTCCTCCGCTCCCACCCCCTCACACTCACCCCTCCCCCGCGCTCCTGCCTTCTCCCTCCCCTCCCCCCCCTCTACCTCCTTTCCTTCCTCCTCACCCCCCTCCCTGCCCTCCCCTTCCTCCTCTTCCATATTCTCCACACCATTTTCCTCCTCCTGCTCATCCTCCTCCTCTTGCCATCGCCTCTTACCCCCTCGCTCCTTCCTCCTCCTCCCATCCTTCCTCCTGGTCTTCTTCAGAGGAACGTCAAATATTTGAACAAACTCCGCCCGCGCTCGCTGCCGCTCCCTCCTTTCCCTCTTGCTCAGATACGCACCCCCGTCCTCCACCTCATCCTCCTCCTCCACCTCATCCTCCTCCTCCACCTCATCCTCTTCCTCCTCCTCCCCCTCACCACTATCATCGTCCTCCTCCATCCCTACCGCATCCTCCCCCTCGCCTCCACTTTCCTCCTCGCTCCCCCTCTTTTGCACACTCTTCCCCCTGCGCTTTCCTCCGCCCTCCCCTTTTCCCCCCGTCATCCCCAGCACAGCGCGGTGCATGCGGGGGCGGTGCACGAAGCACGCCAGGTCCCAGAGCTCGAGAGTGGAGTTCTGCAGCGGCGTGCCCGTTAGCAGGACCCTTCTTCGCGTGTGCAGCCGGTCCAAGGCCTGGTTGAAAGGGAGATTGGGAAGCGGAGCAGGCAGGAAAATTGGGAAGGGAGGCAAGAGAGCGGAAACAAAAAGGTGTCGTTAGATTAACAGCACACACATAACAAGCAAAATTATCCCATGCTCTGAACCATCCCCATCCCCAGCACAGCATGGCGCATATGAAAAAGCAGCCGGATGCGACAGGCGTAGTGTGCACGCCACAACACAGCACAGCACACCAAGCTCGCTCACCCGGTGTGAGATGGTGGATGGCGATTCGATCCGATGGTCCTCGTCGCAGATGAGCACATTTGTGTCCTTCACCACATGTGATGATGTGACAGCCCAGCACGTGACACCCCTGCAGGTGCAGCACGCTTACCCGATGCAAGATATCAAAGCAGCACCACAGATGTCACACGCACGCTGTGCTTACCCGGTGCGAGATGGTGGAGGGCGATTTGATGCGGTGGCCCTCGTCACAGATGAGCACATCCGTCTCCTCCACCACCATCCGTCTCACCTCGCCCCTCGCCCACACCCCCTCCTCCCGCCCCTGCGACCCCAACCCCCACACCCCGCCTGCCCTTCCTGCCCCCCCTACTCCCCGCTTCTCAATCACCCCTTCCAGAAACCCATAAGTCGCAATCAACACACCACCCTTAGCAGCCCACGCCTTGGCCACCCTCTCTGCTTCTCGTATCCCCCCTGCGCCCCCGCCTTCCAGGACTTTGAGGGAGGGGATGACAGCGCGCTGGGAGCGGGTGGTGATCCACTTGTGGAACTCGGCCCACCATGAGTCCACTATGGAGAGCTCTGTCACGATCAGGATGCGCGGCGGGGTGCCGCTTGCTGCAGACACAGCAGCAGAGGCACTGAGATGCCCCGTCTCACCACGAGTGAGCCGCTGATGGTGATGCAGGGAGAGAAGCTTCTCGATGAAGGCGATGGTGGTCAGCGTCTTGCCCGTGCCAGGCGCATGCGCCAAGATGCACCCCCCTACTTCCCTCTCCTGTGATTTTACGTCTCCTCCCCCTGCTCCCACTCGCCCTTCCCCTGGCCTCCCCCCGGCCCCAGCCACCAGGTGGTGCCAGATGAATCGGAACGCAGCAATCTGATGGCTCTGCATCCTCTTTCCGAGGAAATCCGACGGCCAGCAATCGTGCTCCACCCCGATCTCCCCCAGCAGCTGCTGCCGCCGCTCAAGCTCTCGCTCCCGCTCCCTCTCTTTCCGCTGTTTCTCCCTCTCGCGCTGCGCTGCCTGCTCGCGCTGCTGCTCCTCCCGGCGCCACTCTGCCTCTGCAGCCTCCAAGGCTCGCATGGCCTGCTGCGCCTGCAGCTGCATTGGGTTCAGGTGGGGCCGCCTGATGGTCACCACTGCGCCTGCGGAGGGCCGGTTCGGAACCTGTGGACGAGAAACAGAGAAACGGGCGACATGGGAAAAATGGGAGAAACAGGAGGAACGGGGGACACGGGAGTGTGAAGATAAGCGCGTATGCTGCCTGCTCGCGCTGCTGCTCGTCCCTGTCGTCCCTGTCGAGCCTCTGCAGCCTCCAAGGCTCGCATGGCCTGCTGTGACTGCAGCTGCATTGGGTTCAGGTAGGGATGAGCAAAGGGCGAACTCGAACACGTTTGGGTTCGAGTTCGCTCGAACATCAACATTTCCCGAACCGAACACGGTTCGGTTCGGCGAACAATTTAGGGTTCAGGAGGTGTTCGCCGTTCGCCCATGGGGGCGAACATTTGGTATGTGTGGGCGAACTTGAACATGTTCGAACCGAACATGTTCGAGTTCGCCCGTGGGCACTTTCGTTATAGTCACATTGGTCAAACAGGGAATCTGGAGGGTTGGGAAGATAGATAGGGGGGTGGAGGGTGTATATGTGTTCATGCAACGCACACTAGCATACGACACCATCATGTTTTGCCTATATAAAAGTCACTGTCAAATTAAATCCTACGCCTGCACACCACTGCTACTACCAACAACAGCATGCTCCACGTCAGAGGTGTCGCCAGCACCCACCCCCTCCTGCTCCTCCTCCCCCTCCCCCTCCTCCCACTCGTCGTCCTCCTCCTCCCCCTCGCCTTCAATGGCAAACTCTGGTGGTGCCTCGCCTTTTGCACGGCGGCCCTCGCCTATCCTCTGTCCAGGGTGTGAGGTGTACCATGATCTGAGAATCATGGAAGCTCGCGTCCTCTGAGAGGCTAGGCGGTGCCGCTTCCAGGATATGAGGTTGCGGCCGAGGGAGAACACGCGCTCGCTCGACGCGGACGTGGCAGGGATGGCAAGATAATCCCGGGCCATGCGCCTCAGCGTCTGCATGTTGGTGGCGCTGCGCCAATACTCCAACGCTGACACGTCGCACCGCACCCTCTCAGATAAGTACCTGCCAACCTCGTCATCCTGCACCATCCCACCCCTCCCCGCCTCTTGGCTCGCCGAAAGACGCGCCGCAAGGCGTCGGCGACTAGGGAGAATCTCGGCGTCTTTGTCGTCATCCGCCGCGTCTCCCTCCTCCTCCTCCGTCACTGGGGCAAGTGGGGTCGGCCGAGGGGCAATCGCTGCAGCCCGGGCCTGGTACTCGGCCACGCGTTCGCGGACCAGCTGGATCACCTCGCCTGACGAGGGACGAGGCCTCGCCCTCCGGTCGGTATCGGGATGCAGCGTCTCCCAGTGCGCGTCGTCGAACCACGCCGCCTTCATGGAAGGGTCCAGGAAGGTGGCGATCCACAACTCGTTGCTTGACATCAGTTCATACTTCTTCAAGAGACCCAACGCCGCCTCAATCATCGGCTTCAGCGTAGCCGATGGCCCCTGGGCAAGGCGCGACTCCATAGCGTCGATCAGGCCGTTGTAGTACGGCAGGACCATCGCCACTGTAGGGTACGCCGCTCCCTCCGCGGCCTTGGAGACTTTGGCGAATGGGCTGAGGAAGGTCTTGACAGAATGCAGAGTCTCCCAGTCTGCGTCCGTCAGGCGCAAGGTGTCCATCTTCGCCTTGTCAGCCTTCGACACGCCCTGTCGGGTAGAACGTATGGGTGGGCGGGTGTTAGGGTGGAAAGTGGGGTGGTTGAGGTTGTTGGAGGTCCGATAAGTTTAGTCAAGCATGGCCAACAGTGGTGCAAGTCCCAGAAGAAAACACCCCGACTGACATACCAACACATAAAACCGCATACATAACACCTGGCACACACACACACACCTGTGTCTGGGCAAAGAAGACAGAGATGGGTTCCTGCAGAACCCCAGCTCGCTCGACCATGTCGTGGGTCGACCCCCAGCGTGTGGGACTGTCCTGCACCAACTTCAATGCCGGCTTCGGTCTGGCGGGGTTGCCCTGCGCGTTCAGGGTCCGCTGAAGGCCCAAGAACTTCCCTGAGCGCTGCGGCGAGAAGCCTATCCACGACGCCATCTCTCTCAGAATCTTCAACAACTTGCGGATGGCGGTCACAGCGAGTGCTGCCTTCACTGCAAGGTTGATCACGTGTGCCAGGCATCTGCGCACATCACAAAACATTAATGGCGGAGAGAAAGGGAAGTGTGAGTGCACATTGGCATAGATCCGCGAAACACTACCACTATCAAGCCGCATAGGCCCACCCGCCTGTACTACAACCTCAACATGTTCACATCACAGGAACGACGCACCCAGACTCCCTCATCGCACATCCCACGCACACTCCCTTTCGTACCGGAAGTGCATGCGCGAGTTGAAGAAGCACTGGCCACCACCCTCCTCCGACATCCACCTGAAAGCGGCAGTGTTGCTGGAGGCGTTGTCTGAGGTGAGCCCAAGACAACGCGTCTCCAACCCCCACTGCATCACAGTCTCCTCAACCACCCTCGCCATCTGCTTGCCCGTGTGACGCCCGTGAATCTCGCGGAATTCAAACACCATTGTGCGCAGCTGGTAATTCTCGTCGATCCAGTGACCCGTTACCACTAGCCACGCCCTGTTGTTGGGCGACGTCCACATGTCGATGGTGAACGACACCCTGCACCCCAGATCCCCCTCCTTCGCCAGCATCTCCGCAATGGCTGACTGAAGAGCGGCAGCCGCATAGACCACTGTATCGCGGGAAACCGTCCAGCGCGAGGGGATGAAGTTCTTCTGCGCGCAGTTGCGGTTTAGCAGGATGAGTAGCTCATGAAACTGGAGAAGAGTAGAGACAAGGGGGGAGAGGGGAGTAAACGTCAGGGGGATGGGATGAAAATAATATAGCACTGCACTGGGCCACACGCAAACATTCAAAACACGAAGGGACAGACCCGTCCACTAACCACATACTTGCCCAATCATGCATGGGATGGGATGGGGCACTTACAGCCTCGGCCTCGACGATGCGGAAGGGGAGGTCGCAGGTGACCACCAGCTTCGTGATCGCCTGCCGTAGCTGCACCGAGGTCAGTTTGGTTGTCATCCACCGCTCCATCCCGCCTGACCCATGACCTCCACCAGTCGCCATCCCTTTCCCCTTTGCGAGCTGCGGCCAAGTCTTGGCATGTGGCCACTGATAGACGTAGCCATCCGGCACTCCCTTGTAGCCCCCACGTGGAAACGTCTCCCCTGGCAAGTGAACGGACGGGGTGTGGTAACGGTGATGCCACACATGCATGTGCGCAGTGTGGAAGCTCGCAAAGTGCCGCTCGCCGGGGGTTGTTGTGGATTGCTTCCACGAAATCCTGTCTGTGCAAATCTTGCACTGACGCTTATCGTCTGCCCCTAACGGTCCGAACATCATTACTTGCCACCCCGACTTCCTATTACCCTTGCCAGTCCCCTTACTACTCTCGGACTCTCCGTCCTCGTCTAGGAACTCGGGAGCGATCACACCCTCGCCCAAGGGCTCCCCAGTGAACGTGCAGGGATACGCCCGCTCCCTCAACTTGTTGGCCTTCTTCCTCTGCCTCGGCTCCCTAATGGTCACGGCCTTTCTCCCCCCCACCTTAATCCCCACGCTCCCTCCCCCTTCACGCACATGCTGTGATCCCGCCTCTGTCGCCGCCCTTCCACCACCCTCTCCCACCTCCTCCTCCCGCCCCTCTGGCTCCAACCCATCCATCTCGTGGTCTTCATCATCATCATCTCTCCCCTCCCCATCGCCATGCGTCTCTGGGTCCCACGCCGCCTCGCTGTCATCCCCGCTCCCCTCAGTGTCCTCCTCCTTCTCGCCCTCACCATCCTCCTCCTCATCCTCCTCCTCGCTGCCGCTCTCCGGCTGCGTCGGCGTCTGCCCCGAAGGAGGGGGTCGAGGGCCGTCGTAACGGAAAGAGCGACGAGAGGTCGGCGCCGGTACGGTAAGCAACCCCTCAACGAAGATCGCGCCGGCTCCTCCCGGTCCATCCCCTACTCGCCCCTGCATAGGTCGTGGTGGAGATCCCGGTGCGCTGCCCTGAGCCCTGCCTGCACCTCGGCCTATGGATCCACCAGCCCTGGAAGCCATAACTCCGCCCTCGACCCTAAACCCTAAAACACCCTTCCTGCAACGGTAGCGTTGGATGGTGCCGCACGTTCCTAATGCCCGATCCGAATCCTACGGCGTAGGATACGCCCTACTTGAGCCCTTTGCGGAGATGCTCGCTGAACCTTAATAGTAACCCTAAACTCCCTACACTACGTTAAACCCTATGCATAGATCTATCTATCTAATGTCCGTTTACACTGCAAGTATCAGCGTGCACTTGCTTGCACCTAGAACAAGGAGGCTAGGGCGGCTGTGTGAGGGAGCGCTAAGGCGAAAACGATTTCTGAGTTTGAGCTCACGAAATGAGCTCAAACACAAATTGGCCGCGACCTAAATCTGGTCGCGGCCAATTTTGACGCGAACATTTTTGGTGTTCGCGTGGCCCCCAAGTCGAACACGAACATGTTCGTGTTCGGCTTGGAGAGCCAAAATTCGGAGGCGAACGTCGAACATGTTCGGCCGAACACCGAACATGTTCGGCCCGAACAATTTAGGCAAAAAAAAAAATGTTCGAGGCGAACCGAACAGGCGTTCGGGATTTTGCTCATCCCTAGGTTCAGGTGGGGCCGCCTGATAGTCACCACTGCCCCTGGGGAGGGCCGGTTCGGGACCTGTGGACGAGAAACAGAGAAACGGGCGACATGGGGAAAATGGGAGAAACAGGAGGAACAGGCGACATGGGGAAAATGGGAGAAACAGGAGGAGCGGGGGACATGGGAGTGAAGATAAGTGTTTGCGCTGCCTGCTGGCGCTGCTGCTCCTCCCGGCGCCACTCAGCCTCTGCAGCCTCCATGGCTCGCATGGCCTGCTGCGCCTGCAGCTGCATCGGGGTGAGGTACGCCCGCCTGATGGTCACTGCTCCTGGGGAGGGCACGCCAGGGCAGCTTCCATCCCATCCCATTGCCTGCCCGCCTGCTGCATGCGCCTGCAACTGCATTGGGGTGAGGTGGGGCCGCCTTTTGCTCGTCACAACCCTTGGGGAGGGCTGGTTCGTTGCCTGTGGGTGGGAGATATGAGGCGGCGAAATTGAGGGCACGGGAGACTTTTGGAAAAAACGAAAGAGAGATACGGGAGAGGAACGGGAGAGACATGGGAGAGGAACGGGAGAGACATGGGAGAGGAACGGGAGAGACATGGGAGAGGAACGGGAGAGACATGGGAGAGGAACGAGAGAGACACGCACGGGAGAGGAATGGGAGAGACACGGGAGATGACACGTGCGCTGCCTGCTCCTTCTGCTCCTTCTGCTCCTTCTGCTCCTTCTGCTCCTTCTGCTCCTTCTGCTCCTTCTGCTCCTTCTGCTCCTTCTGCTCCTTCCCTCACCGTCTGCATTGCCTGCTCTGGGTGCTCCCCTTCACGCTTCACCGCACGTGAAGGTATCACTCATGACCCTTCCGCCCTGCTACCCCTCCTAGGTAAACCTTTCAGTTTGCTCGAACCGTAACATGGTATCGAAGCTTCTTGCACGCACATACACATCTCTCCGACTTGGACTTAATGAAAACCGTCTCGAACTGTAACAAGTTTACCTGTGGTTCTTGCTTGAGACGCAGACCTCTTGTCATGGATCATCGCACAACTCACCAGCGACAGCTCGTGTGCGCTCCTGAGAACCACGCCGCACTTGGCACAACCCCCCCCCCCCCCCCTCCACACAGCAAGGCATGCAACAAGCTACAGGCATGCAACAAGCTACAGGCATGCAACAAGCTACAGGCATGCACAGCACACGACTCACCAGCGACAGCTCGTGGGCGCTCCTGAGGACGATGCCGCACTTGGCACACACCTCCCCCTCCATCGCATCCTCCTCCACCACATGCCGCCCCCCGTCGTACCGACACACTCCCTGCCTCCTCACATCGTATGCCCCCATGGGATGGCCTGACCGCCCCTCCTCCCTCTCCACATCCTCCTCCTCATCACTCTCCTTGTCAGAACCACCACTGTCATCATCACTACCATCATCGTCATCATCAGTATCTGTCCCATCATTCGCTCCTGAGTTATCATCAGAATCCCCATCACCACCACCACCATCAGTCTTTCCCCCACTCGGCCCATCAGCAGCAGCAGAAGTGCCCTTGCGTTGGTTGAGGGCCATCCACATGTTGATCATATATGCCGGCACAGCGCCCTTTGCTCCCAGTGCCTCCCTTTCGTTGGCAATATTTTCATCTCTCCTCGCTCTCTTCCTGTCACTCCACCTCTGCTGATCTCGCACCTGCTGCTGAATCCGCTGCTGCTGAAGCAAAAGCTGCTGCTGCTGTTGCTGAGACGGCTGCTTCTGCCTGTGCATTTCAACCCGCTGTTTCTGTGCTGATGCACTGGCAGGAGGAGGGGGAGAGGGAGCAGCAGGGGGAGAGGGGGGAGGAGCAGTGCGGGTTGAAGGAGTGGGAGAAGCAGGATCAGCGGAAGGGGCAGAGGAGGAGGGAGCAGAGGAGGGAGGAGCAGAGGAGGAGGGGGCGGAGGAGGAGGGAGAAGAGGAGGGAGCAGAGGAGGGGGCGGAGGAAGAGGGAGCAGAGGAGGAGGGAGCAGAGGTGGCAGGAGCAACAGGGGTTGAGGCAACAGGTGGGGAGGAGGAGGCGGGGGGAGGCTGAGGTAAGGTTGATGTGGGTGGGATGGGAAGGGGTGGTGCAGGTGAAGCAGAGGGATGGAGGCGAGGAGATGCAATGAGGAGGGCAGACGGGAGAAGCACATCTATGCCTCTCGTGCCTCTTGCACCTCTTGTGTCTCTTGCACCTGTTGCGGCTGTTGTGGCTGCTGTGGCTGTTGCGCCTGTTGCAGCTGTTGTGGCTGTCGTGTTTGTTGCGGTCCTTGTGGCTTCAGTAAGTCCAGTGGCTTCCTGATCAGCCTCTTCCCGTGCCTCCTCCCCCTTAGCTTCATCTTCCGCTTTCTCCTCTGGGCCTACAAGCCCCTCCTCGCCTCTCAAATTCACCTCTCCCTGCATCTCCGCTGGGCCTTCCTCGCTGCACATCTCTCCCTCCTGCACATCTCTCTTCCTCTTCCGCGCCCCGCCTCCCTCCACGCCACCACTCTCTCCCCCACACGGATCACAGCACGCCACCTCGTCCCGCCCATCCCCAGCCAAGCATTGCTCTGCATTTGGTGAAGTCTGAGCCGACCCAGAGCTCACCTCCACGCCCCCGGCCTCTCCTACACACGGAGCCGAGCACACCAGCTCATCCCCATGCACAGATTGCCCTGCACTCGCTGCTTCTCCTGCCACTCCTCCCTCTCCTCCCTCTCCTCCCTCTCCTCCCTCTCCTCCCTCTCCTGCCCCTCCTGCTTCTCCCCTCTGCCTCTCCACCCCCATTCCGCCCTTCTCCCCTCCCTCCCCACCTTGTGCACCCGCCCCCACCAACGCGTCATCCCCCTCGTCCAGCCACTCATCCACGGCACTCTTCGCCCTCTTCCATGCACGCTCCCAACCCCACACATCCCACTCCTCTTCCCTGCCTCCCCTCTTACCTGGCCTCCTTCCTTCCCCGCCCACCTCTCCATCTGGTGCTTTCTCCAACTCTTTAGGTACCTCTTGAGTCGACTCAAAAACGGCCCTGTTGCCAGTGCACCTTCCGTCCCCTTCCACCTCTCCACCTGAGACCCTTTCCAACTCCTTTGGCTGCTCCTTGCTTTCCTCCTCTGCCCCTTGATCAGCCTCCTCACCTTCCTCTTCTCGCCGCACCCCTTCACTTCCTTCCTGCCCCCACACTCCATCCCCTTCCTCGCCCGCCTCCTCCACACCTTCCAACTCTTTGTGTGCTCTCCCCGTCATTTCTCCCTCTTCCTTCCTCGCTACCTCTTCCTTCCTTGTTTCCACTTGCCCCATCCCCTCTCTACATCTTCCACTATCATCCAATATAACCACCGTCGCACCCCCTGTCTCCTCTCCTTGCTCTCTCCCCTCTCCCTGTCCCACTCTCCTCGCCTCCTCCTCTTCCTCCTCCTCTTCCTCCTCCTCTTCCTCATCATCATCATCATCCAGAAAGATAATCTCCTCTTCAACCTCATCCTCCTCCCTCACACCAACAGCCCCATCCTTCACCGGCGCGCTAGAAGCACCCACCACAGTAGGCGCAGCAGAGTGACAAGGGTAACGAGGGCGAGAGAGATGAACATGGTGGGGGTGGTGAGCACGACACGGGCCATGCGGGTGATGGGGAATGATGCTACGAGCAGCCAGTAAGCCCCACGCACGGCCCAGCCCCGCCGGTCTCTGACCACCTTTTGCTTCCACTGCATCACCTTCCTCTCGCATCTTCCCACTCCTTTCCTCCTTGTTCCCTTCCTCCTCTCTTGTCACCTGATTTATTCCCTGCCGCCCCTCTTCCTTCCTCTCCTCTTCCTTCCTCTCTTTTTCCTTCCTCTCCTCTTCCTTTCTCTCTTCTTCCTTCCTCTCCTCTTCCGCCCTCTCCTTTTCCTTCCTCTCCTCTTCCTTTCTCTCCTCTTCCATCCTCTCCTCTTCCTTCCTCTCCTTTTCCCTCATCTCCTCATCCTCTTGATAACGCCTCACCTCCCCACCCTCCTTATCATACCCAGCATTGTTCCCTATCTCCCCTTCTCTCTCACTGCTCTCTCCCCCATCATTCCACCCATCATCCTCATCCCCCTCCTCCTCTCGAACTTCCCCTTCCTCTAATTCCGAATCCTCCTCCACACCACACTCTCTCCCTCGCACTTTCGCAGCCCCTTCCTCGCACTCACTTCCCCCTCTCTCCCCATCCCCTTGCCTCTGCATTGCTCCTCCCACCCTACTCACCCCATCCCTCTCACTCTCCCCACCTCCCATCTTATCATTACGTCCCTTGTTTGACTCATCCTCGTTATTAGCACGCTCGTTATGGTCCTCCTCCTCATCACTAACATCCAGCACAATCACCTCTTTCCCATGCCATGCCTCAACCCTCTCATCCTCTCGCCTCCCCTTCACGTCCTCCTTCCTGTGCATCACCCTCGCTCCCCTCCCTGCATCACCCCCACATGCGCCAGCAGCACTCCCCAGCCGCTTCCCCTCCTCCCCGGTCCCTTCCATCTCCCCACATTCCCCAACCATTCCGGACAGCTCCTTTTTTTTCTCCTCACTCTTCCCGCCCTGCTCCCTCTCCTCCCCCTGCACTCTCTGCACTCCCTGCCCCTCCTTCCCCCCTTTCTCGCCCTGATCTCCCTCTTCCTTATCCTCCTTCTCCTCTCCTTGTGCACCCTCCTCCCTATCCTCCCCCCCCTCCTCCCTCTCCTCGCCCTTCTTTCCCTGCTCAAGCACCTCCCTCTTCCCCACTTCACCTGGCCGCATCTCACACTCACTCGTCCTCACTCTGCCTCCCTCCACTTCCATCCCCGCATCTGGATCTCCTTCGGAATGTCCCTCCCCATTTTCCTTTTCAAAATGCCCTCTCCAACCACTCCTCCTTTCTCCCTCCTGCACCCCCTGCCCCCCCTCATTCCACTCCTCTGCATCGCCTCCCACCATCCCAGCTGCCTCTTTCTCCCCCACTAGCCTCGCCCCACTCTCCCCCTCTTCCCTTTCAAAGCATCCCCTTTTCCCTCTGCCCTCCTCCTCTTCTCCCTCCTCCTCCACCCGAACCTCCTCCGCCCGACCCTCCTCCACCCGGCCCCTCTCCCTCGGACTCGCCTCCCCCTGGCCTGCCTCTTCATCGTCATCAGACAGAACAATCACATGAGAGGCACCCACAGGCATGCCCAGCAGCCTTCCCCTGCGTGCCTCTCCACCCATGCCCATGCCCCCTCTCGTTTGTGTCTCTCCACCCACAAGCATGGGCATGGGCATGGGCATGGGCATAGGCATGCCCATGACCATGCCCCCTCTCGATTGCATCTCTCCACCCACAAGCATGGGCATGGACATGCTCACGAGCCCTCCCCTGTGCGCCTCTGCACGCACCGCGTTGGGATCCGCTGCTACGGGTGCCTGACGGGGGGGCTGCTCACTCCTCCCTTCCCCCGCACGTGCCCCACTCATTCCACCCACACCGCCTCCCCTCTCGCTCGCTACCATGCACCCTCTGCACCCAACTATCCCTTCCTCCTCTACCTCCTCTTCCTCCTCCCCTCCATCCACCTCCTCCCCTTCCTCCACTTCCTCCCCCTCTTCTAACACCTCCCCTTCCTCCACCTCCTCCATTTCCTCCACCTCCCCTTCCTCCCCCTCCTCCCCCTCTTCCACCACCTCCCCTTCCTCCAATTCCATACTCTCAGTCACCTCTCTCAGCCTCACAACTTCTTCCCTCCTCTCTTCCCTCCTCTCTTCCCTCCCCTCTTCCCTCCTCTCTTCCCTCCTCTCTTCCCTCCTCTCTTCCCTCCTCTCTTCCCTCCTCTCTTCTCTCACTTCCCACCTCTCTTCCCTCCTCCCTTCCCTCTCCTCCGTCCTCTCTTCCCCCCTCTCTTCCCTCCTCTCCTCTCTCAATTCCCTCATCTCATCCCTCCTCCTTTCCCTCTCTTCTGTCCTCTCTTCCCTCCTCTCTTCCCTCCTCTCCTTCTTCCTCTCTTCCCTCCTCTCTTCCCTCCTCTCTTCCCTCCTTTCCTCCCTCCTCTTTTCCCTCCCTTCCCCCCTCATCTCCTCCCTTTCTTGCATACTCTCCCTCTCCCTCTCTTTCTCCCTCTCTCCCTCCCCTCCATTCCTCGCCTCCTCTCCCACATCTCTCACCGTCCCTCTTAACCCACCACCACCACCTAGGCTCAAACCCTGCTCTTCCATCCCCCTGTTGTCGCTTCCAGACCATCTGTCCCTCACCACCGCTTCCAACCCCTCCACACCATTCCTATCCGCGTCGCCATCACGAGCAAAATCACCATCCCCAAGGGAACCAGCACGGCCAACAGAAGGACCAGCAGCGGCAGCAGCAGTGCCAGCACGACCAGCACCAGCAGCAATGCCAGCAGCAGCAGCAGCGGCAGCGACAGCGGCAGCAACAGCAGCAGCACAAGTGGCGGCCCACTCGTCATCGTTCTCTCCCTGGCCCTCTAAACGCTCGCCTCTCAACTCGACACCCCCTGCAGCAGCAGCAGCAGCAGCAGGAGCGCCAGCATTACGGGCAGCTCCAACAGCAGCAGCAGCTTCACCACCAGCATTTACAGTCGCACCCGTACCACCAGCAGCACCAGCACCAGCATCAGCACCAGCATCAGCATCAGCATCAGCACCAGCACCAGCATCAGCATCAGCATCAGCACCAGCATCAGCATCAGCACCAGCATCAGCATCAGCATCAGCATCAGCATCAGCATCAGCATCAGCATCAGCATCAGCACCAGCATCAGCATCAGCATCAGCATCAGCATCAGCATCAGCATCAGCACCAGCATCAGCACCAGCATCAGCATCAGCACCAGCATCAGCATCAGCATCAGCACCAGCATCAGCATCAGCATCAGCACCACCAGCAGGATCAGCATGAGCATGAGCATGAGCATGAGCGTTACCAGCAGCATCAGTAACAGAGCTGCCACCAAGAGCATCCTCCTCCTCCTCGTCACTATCTGACAGCTCAATCACCACCCTCTGCTGCCTCCCCGTCCTCTCCCTGCCTTGCACCCCTCCCCCCTCCACTCTTCCCTGCACCCCTCCTGCCACTCTTCCAGTCACACCTCGTCCCACCACTCGCCTCTGCACCCCTTGCTCCTCTACTCTTCTCTGCACCCCTTGCTCCTCTACTCTTCTCTGCACCCCTTGCTCCTCTACTCTTCTCTGCACCCCTTGCTCCTCTACTCTTCTCTGCACCCCTTGCTCCTCTACTCTTCTCTGCACCCCTTGCTCCTCTACTCTTCTCTGCACTCCTTGCTCCTCTACTCTTCTCTGCACCCCTTGCTCCTCTACTCTTCTCTGCACCCCTTGCTCCTCTACTCTTCTCTGCACCCCTTGCTCCTCTACTCTTCTCTGCACCCCTTGCTCCTCTACTCTTCTCTGCACCTCTCCCCTCCCCATTCTTCTCTCCACCCCTTCCCCTGCCCCCCTTCTCCTCCTCACCCTTCGGGTCCCCGCTCTTCCCTGCACCCCTCCCCCCTCCATTCTTCCCAGCACCCTTGGCTCCTCCACCCTTGGCTCCTCCACCCCTCCTTGCACACGTCGCTCCTCTCTCTGCTCTGCACCCTCCCTACCTTGTTCTTGCTGCCCCTCACTCCGTGTCTGCCCTTCATTCCACATCGGCCCCTCGCCTTGCGTCGGCCCCTCGCCTTGCGTCGGCCCCTCGCCTTGCATCTGCTCATTCTCTCGCAAGTGTATCCGCTCCTCTCTTTTTCCTTGCTCCCTCCTTGCACCATCTCCCTCCTCTTGCACACTCCTTGCACCCTCTCCCCCTTGCTCCTCCCCTCTTGCACCCTCTTCCTCCCCTTTACTCCTCTCCTCCATTCCCCCATCCTCGCCTCCTGCCCTTCTCTCTGCTTCCTCTCCCACCTCCCTCTCCGTCCCTTCCCAACACTCCCCTCGCTCCGCTTCTCCAGAATTCGACGCATGCTCCCCCTGTGCCTGCAGCATCTGCCTGCTTGTCTCCATAAAACCAAGGGGAATCGCAGCGGCAGTGACAGGGGCAGTTGGAGCAGCTGCGGGGACAGTTGCAGGGGCAGTTGCAGGCGCAGTACCAGGGGAGATGTGCTGAGAACTTGGAGGGAGATCCACAGAAGGAAAGGGCTGGGTGCGGGGAGATCCGTGCGCGGAGACCGGGTACTGCATGGGGGGGAGGTTTTGAATGGGGGGCGGGTCTTGATTTGGGGGCGAGGCTTGGGTGGGGAGCGATGCATGAAGTATGGTTGAAGAAAGGCTGCGAGAGGGACCAGGAGGGGGTTCGAGAACGAGTGCTGGCTGGTCAGGCAGCGGTTCAGCTGCGGAACGGGCACCAGAGGGCTCAGCAGTAGGTGGTTGAGCAGGAGAGGGGTGAGCGTTTTGCTGGGCGGGAAGAGAGGGGGGTTCCAGTACGAGTGGTGGCACAGCAGGGAGTGGAGGAGCCGTGGAATGGACACCAGAGGGCTGCCCAGTTGGCTGGGCAGGGGAGGGCTGAGAGGTAGGTTGAGCGGGAGAGGGCTGGGCAGTGGACTGGAAAGGAGGCGTTGGGTGCACAGGCGCTCCAAGCGCAGAGAAAGGCTGAGCTGCAAAACAGACAGGCGAGAGGTGAGCGACTGGCTGCACAGGCGAGGGGTGGGTGGATGCCTGGGCTGCAGCTGCTTCCCCTGTGATGAGAACCAAGCCAAACCCCTGCAGCACCGCACTCGTTTGCTCCTCACACACCCTGCTCCCCTGGGGAGCCAAGCTGTTGGCCCGCTGAGTCACGCAGCGGACCAGCTGACTCACGCAGCTGGCCTGCTGAGCTGTACTGTCGGCCTGCTGAGTCATGCCAGCGGCCGGAGGCGCTGTGCTGCCAGCAGCAGCTAGGATTGTGCCGAGAGCGGCAGGTAGGGAGAGAGCGACGGGTGGAGGGGCAGGTGCAGCAAGTGCAACGGGTGGGGGAGGGGAGGGAGCAGGGACTGTGGAGGAGTGAGGTGGAGCAGGAGAAACGCATGTGTCACGTGTGGGCATTCTCAGCAGGAAACCACGCATGGCGAGTGATGCAGGTGATGCAGGAGGAACGCCTGTGTCACGTGTGGGCAGAGAGGGGGCAGGTGAGGCAGCAGCAGCAGCAGCAGCAGCAGCAGCAGCAGGTGCCTCAACACGAGAGGGTGGAGGCCCAAACAGCAGCTGAGGAGGGGCATGGCGGCACACCCGATGGCCCCTCGCCCTGCCAAGCTGCCCCCACTGCCCCGCTCCTCGCTTCACTCCTCTCCCTCCCTCTTCTCTCCCTTCCTCTCCTCTCCCTTTCTCTCCTCCTCCCTCGCTCCGTTTCCTGCTCCTCAGATAATGCTGCTGTGTCTCCGGACATTCAACCTCCCCCCTTTCCCCACCCGTTCCTCCACTGCTCATCTCCCCACCCTTCCCCTCACGCCCCTCCTCCCCACCCTGTGCCGCATGCCCCTGATTCCCGCCCAGTCTTTCACCCTCTCCTCTCTCACCATCCTCCCCACCTTCCCCACCCTCCCCGCCTTCACTACCCTGTCTGCAGGATTGCCGATCACTCTCCTCTTCATCTCCCTCTTCGCCCGTCGCACCACAGGCGACCCACCTCGCCTGGGACGCCAGCGCATCTGATGGGTGCCGTGTAATGCGCCTCACCAACCTCACCTTTAAAGCCCTCCGTGGATCAGACGGTTGACGTGTGACGCACCTCAACCCATCCACATCAGTCTCTCCTTCCTCCCTCTCGCAGCCGCCTTCAGCAGCCTTGCCGTTTCCACTTCCGTCTTCCTCCTCCTCATTCTCCTCCTCCGTATTCTCCTTTTCTTTCACCTCATGTCTCTCCCCCGGGTTCTCCTCCTCTTTCTTCTCCACTTTCTCCCCCGTCTCCTCCATATCTTTCTCCTCTTTCTGCCCTTCTCTCGCCTCTATCTCCTCCTCCTGTTTCTCCTCCTCTTCCTCCCCTTCTTTCTCCTCCTCTTTCTCCTCCTCCTGTTCCTCCTCCACTTTCTCCCCTTCTTTCTCCTCCTCTTTCTCCTCCTTGTCTTTCTCTTCCTCTGCATTCTCTTCTTCTTCCAACTCTTCTTTCTCCTCTTTCCTCTCCTCTTTCACCTCCTCCTCTTTCACCTCCTCCTCTTTCACCTCTGCCTCTACCTCGTTCCCCCCCCATCCCTCTTGCACCTCCACGACATCATCATCATCATCTCCCTCTCTCTTCTCCTCCTCCTCCTCAAATTCCTTTTTCTCCTCCTCCAATTCCTTCTCCTCCTCCTCCAATTCCTTTTCCTCCTCCCCCAATTCCTTCTCCTCCTCCCCCAATTCCTTCTCCTCCTCCTCCTCCTCCTCCTCCAATTCCTTCTCCTCTTCCTCCAATTCCTTCATCTCCTCCCTCAATTCCTTTTCCTCCGACACCTTTTCCTCCAAATCCTTTTCCTCCTCCCCCAATTCTTTCTCCCCCTCCCCCAATTCCTTTTCCTCCTCTTCCAACTCCTTCTCCTCCTCCCCTAAATCGTTTTTCTCCTCCAACTCTTTCTCCTCCTCCTCCAACTCTTTCTCCTCCTCCTCCAATGCACCATCCTCCGCTTCCCGCTCTCTCATTTCCACCTCTTCCACTCCCCATTCTCTCACGTCCCCCTCTCCCCCTCCCCACTCTATCACGTCCCCCTCTTCCCCATCCCCGTCTCCCCCATCCTCCCCTCCTCGGATTTCCTCACACTCAACCACCGTTCGTTCAACCTCCCCTTCAGAAGAACCGTCACCAGGGGCAACAGTCACTCCAGGGAGATTCAAGATCGCTTCAGCACTGCCACCACTGCCACTGCTGCCAGCAAGAGCAGCAGCAGCAGCAGCAGCAGCAGGAGGAGCATCACCAGCAGAAGCAGCAGCAGCATCGCCAGCAGCAGCAGCATCGCCACCAGCAGCAGCAAAAGCATCACCTGCAGAAGCAGCAGCGCCGACAGCAGCAGCAGCATCCCTGTCAGCACCACCACCACAACAACACTGTTCCCTGAGCCCACCACCAGTGCTGCTCCCTCCAGGCCCACCCCCGTTGCTGCTCGCGCATGAGGGCAGAGGGGCAGGGAGTGAAGGCGGTGGGGAGGAGGCACAGCAGGATGCATTGGCAGGTGTGAAGGGCGGCTTACCAGCACCGAGCACATCCAATGCACACTTGCCACCACCACCAGCAGCAGAAGCACCAGCAGCACGGAGATCGTTCCGCTGCCTGCAATCCGCATCCCTGTGGTTGCTGGGCGCGCTGTTGCCATGCATGCCATTGCAAATCCTTACATTCGCACCCATGCCATCTACCCCCATGCCACTCCCCCCCATGGCACAACTGGCAGCAGCAGCATCATCACCTGGTGCAGCATCACCAGCAGCAAAACCAGCATCCGGAGCAGCAGCATCAACAGCAGCCGCACCACCACCACCATCACCACCAGCACCAGCACCAGCCACACCATCAGGAGCAGTCAGCACGAGCCCTTGCCAGGAAAACGGCTGATCCACCCGCCAATCCTCCCACCCCCACCCACTCACCACCACCTCCTCGCCCCCCACTCTGCTCCACCACTCCACCCTCGGCACGGGGTACGGCTGCCCGATAGACTCTAGATGGTGCTGCAGCAGCACGTGGAGCGGGCAGAGGGGGTTGACGCGCACGCAGAGAGAGGAGAGAGAGCAGCGCACAGCGCGCCACTTGATAGTGCTTTCCCTCCCGTCGTCTGCCACGTAGCACGTGGGGCTCTCATCAAGACCCTCCTCCCTGCTGCTGCTGCTATTTTCGCCCTCGCTGCCGCTGTCGTCACTGTTGCTGCTGCTGTTGTCACCGCTGCTGCTGCTGCTGCTGCTGCTGCTGCTGCTGCTATTGCTGCTGTCGTTGCTTTCGCCGTCACTGCTGCTGCGGCTGTCGTCGCCGCGATCACCGCTGCAGTTGCTGGTACTGGGGGCAGATTGGGCTACTTCTGCTGCTGCAGCAGCTTCTGCTGCTTCCGCTGCTGCTGCGGCTGCTGCTGCTGAAGCAGGGCCCCGGGCCGCAGAGGCAGAGGCAGGGGCAGGGGCAGGGGCAGGGGCAGGGGCAGGGGCAGGGGCAGGGGCAGGGGCAGGGGCAGGGGCAGGGGCGGGTTCGGGGGGCCAGGTGACGTGGTGGTGGAAGAGGCGTACGTAGAAGGTGCACTCGCAGCGCGCCCTCCTGCCCCTCCCCGGCACCTCGTGAGGCTTCCTGTCAATCGCCACCACCCGCCCATCGTAATGCGCCTGGATGGGGACGGGGGAGAGATAAGGGGAGGGAAGAGAGGTGGGGATTCGCTGCAAGAGGCAGGCAGGGGCAGCAGCAGGAGCAGGAGCGGGGCCAGCAGGGCCGGGAGAGGGATTCGGTTCGAGGGCAGGGCGACGGGATGGTGGAAGAGAGGTTAAGGGGAGAAGGGGGACAGACAGAAGCGTATGAGTGGGGTTTCTCTGCATGAGGCACCTCGTGGAGCTTCATTAGAATCGCAATCACCCTCCATCGTGTCGTGGTGCGCCTGAGAGGAGAGTGGGGGGATGGGGAAGGTAGAAGAGGATACAGGAAAGAAACAACGACGCTAGCTGTAAGATCAGAGGCACCTGGGGTGTGATTACCATTTGCAAGGTAAGCCTGCGCATGCGTCTGTGTTCGCGGACGCCCAGCGTGGCGGAGTGCGTGCGTGCAGGAGGGCATGGTGGTGGTGGCGTTTGTCAAGCACCCCCAGGGAGACCCCAGTGTGGATGCAGAGGTGAGTGCGGCCCAGTGCCCTCTATCATGCCACGCGGTGGGCCGCACTCACCTCAGCATCCACACTGAGGTCTCACTGGGGGTGCTTGACAAACGCCACCACCACCATGCCCTCCTGCACGCATGCAATCCGCCACGCTGAGCGTCTGCGAGCGCAGGCTCCCTTTCAAACCAACCTTGGTCTCTCTCACCTCTGCGTCCACACTAGGGTCTCCCTCGGGGTGCTTCACGAATGCCACCACTACCATCCCCTCGCGCACGCGTTCGCACTCTGCCACGCTGAGAGTCCGCGAGCGCAGGCGCAAGCGCAGCCCCACCACATCCTCATCGTCCCCCTCGAACTTGGTGTACGTCACCCGGTACTGCTGCAGACCCGGGTTCAACTCCGGCTGCTGGCAATAAGGGTTAAAGTCCTCATGCTGCAGACCCAGGTTCAAATCCAGCTGCTGGCAACCTGAGTGAACCTCTTCAAGCTGCAGACCCGGGTTCGAATCCCCACGCTGCAGGTTAGAGTTCCACCCAGGGCTTAGATGCCCGTGCTGAGAAGGGGGGTCGTGAGGCAGACTAAGGGGATCATCAGCCGGTGAAGGGGAATGAGGGTGGTGATGGTCTGACGGGCCGGGGAGCAGTAGGGCAGGAGATGTGCGGTGTGCTTCAGCAGAGAAGTCCAGAGCATACATGGCACTGGGTGCAGCGCCGTCAGTCATACCATGCGCATCCTCCTGCTGCTCCTGATGATGCTGCTGCTGATGATGATGATGCTGCTGATGATGATGATGATGGTGCTGATGATGCTGATGGTGGTGCTGCTGATGCTGATTCACATCCCCATCACCATACCCATCATCATCATCACCATTATTGTGCTGATGTGCATGCTGCCCAGAGTGTTCATGTACATGTTCGTGCTGTGGAAGCTGGTCATGCGCATGTGCATGTTCATGTTCATGATGTGAAAGGTGCCCATGCCCATGGGCATGGTCATGATGCGAAAGGTGGCCAGCTGCTGCGTCGCTCCCTCTGCCCAGCACACGCACGTCCCACAGGCTGCCGCGGTGGAAGCACTCAAAGACTGCCGGACACAGGACGGGGGAGGGGGGAGGCAGCGTGGCATGGGGGTGGATCGTGACTTGGCTCATACAAGACGTTTCTTTCTTCACTGCTGTGTCTCCCCCTCTGCCAGCAAACGCACATCCCACGGGCTGCCGCGGTGGAAGCACTCAAAGACTGGCGCAGGGAAGGGCGGAGCGGTTCAAGAGGGGGAGGGGGAGCGGAGGCGAACATAGCATAGGGGTGCGTCAGCAACAAATCTCACCTGAAAACAGGGAAAAAAATCACCTGAGCAGCCTCAGCCACAAACTTCACTGGACCAGCAGTATCACCTGAGCAACCTGAGCAGAAAAAATACACCTGGCCTGTCGTCAACGTTCCTGGGCACCAGCGCCTTGACCGGGTTGACTTTGAGTCAACTCAAAAGCAGCAAAAATACACCTGGCCTGTCGTCAACGTTCCTGGGCACCAGCGCCTTGACCGGGTTGACTTTGAGTCAACTCAAAAGCAGCAAAAATACACCTGGCCTGTCGTCAACGTTCCTGGGCACCAGCGCCTTGACCGGGTTGACTTTTGAGTCAACTCAAAAGCAGCAAAAATCACCTGGCCTGTCGTCAACGTTCCTGGGTACCAGCGTCTTGACCGCCGTAGCTGTCCCCCCGTTCCTCCTCCTCGCACCTCCCTTCCTCCTACCCCCCTTGGTGCCGTTACCCCCTTCCTTCACCTCCCTCTCTTCCTTCCCCTCCTTTCGTCCCCTCCTCCGCCTTCCTCTCTCCTCCCCTCTAACCGTACTCCTAGTTTCCATGCCCTTACTCTTGCCTCCCGCGCGCTTCCCGCCGTTCCCTGCACTCTTCCCCTTCCCCTCCCCCTTCCCTTTCCCTGTTCCCTTCCCCTTGCCCCCCGCATCCCGAGTTTCTTCCCCCCTGACCGAACGTGCGATGCGCCTTCGAGACATTATTGCAGCTCATTGACTAAACGAACGCTATGGCAAATTAGGGGTACTTTTCTACGGACACTAACGCTATGGGCTATTTATGGTCACCTTTTTAAAACGACGTCAATGTCAACGGCCCTGGAAAATTCGAGCGACGTCGATGCGACATAGACGCATGGGATAGAATGGCAGACAGCATAGAATGGCTGTAACGATAGGGAGATAGACGCATTCGGCCTAGAACACACATTTCTTGAGGCTGACCTATGGCTGACAAAGTAGTAGTAGTAATAACGACATTAAGAGGATAGTAAAACGTTGGAGGAGCGGAGAATACTACACGAAATTATTCCGGGGACACGACATGCGGATGACATCCGTGAACCGCGAATCAGAAGGTAGAGTGTGGCTTTATGTCCATGCATTGAACGAGATGTGTCCATGTATCTGCTGTGCGGAAATCCCAAGGGGCGTGAAAGATGGGAAATGTACGCGATGCTAGCACGCTTCGAGAAGAGCGCAAGATACACCAGCTACAAGAAAAATCGGGGTTTTGAAGCACACTATTCTTTCTCCATAAGAAACATGTGATGGAGTTGAACAATGCTGCCTCCAGATATGCAACTGTTTGCGAAATGAAGCGGGCTATTCGCGAACTGCGATTTGCGACACCGGACGTTATGGGATGGCCCACCCAACGCCAACGGAAATGCTGCGGCTTTGGAAACACGAGTGGTGCTGCTGAGCCGGTTTGTACACAGGGTAAATGTCTTGAAGTCTCTAGAACCGTATATTCTATGTTTGGGAATTTGTGAGGCTACGCGTGGTGATTGTTGACAACACACTGTTTGGTTCTAAACCCGATTCACATCTCCATGCTCGCAGTCTGGCGCTCGGTCAGTCTGGGTTTTCCAACACATGTATGTTTTGATATATAGCCCTCAAACTCTCCGAGTTTCCTTCGGAAGAAATTGGGTTGGGTAGAACTGGTTCTGTGGAAAATATGGTTCTGCACCTAGCTTCCCTGCCGAACCAAGAAAGCATCAAACTATTCTTGTCAGCCAATCATAGGAGCCCACACCTGATCCCCAAGATTGCGGTTCGGGCGCTGGAATCCTTCATGTGACAGCATTTGTGCCACGAGGTACAGTGGTTTGAGGGCCCGCTTTAGGAAGCTGCGATCTGCATATATGGCAGACACACGGTAACATGATCCCTTGAACGAGAATGTAACAACTAATGCCGAATCAGCGACACTGGCATTTACCAATCAGCTCGTAGCTAGCGACAAGCGAAAAGCGATGTTGATCAGGTGATACCTTCCCCACCTCTAGCATACCGATCAGCTGCCCTCCCTCTCCTGCTTGCCTTGTTCGCAAACCCTAATCGGCATTCACAACTCTAGACGAGACCAGACTTCTTAGGTTCCCTTTTAGGTGTGTTGCACGTGAGCCCCAGTTTACTTTAGGGCGACGTCCAATGGCGTCGGACCCAGCACCGTCCACGGACAAGTGGATGAATTTTCTGACGGAGGCGAATCTCGACGACGACACCTACGTGCCCGGTGTGCTGCTGCCGTCGCAGCCTGCGTTAGAGCAGGTCGCGTGCAGGTACGTGCTGGTCTAGTTCACGTTAGGTTTCTAGATGAACAGATTCTACTCCAACCTCCAGAATTGCGTCTGCCGGACCATCGCTCCAATGCTTACATTCTGGATAAGTCGAATATCGAGTCGACTCACAGTAGGGCGACTTGATTTTGCCAGTTTGTTTCCGTGACGTCGCACACACTAGCTTCTTCGGAAGATTCAATCAGGGCTTGTGTGTGGAACCTCTTAACTCTTAAAAACCTGTTGGGATTTGAACGTCGCTCCTGGTCCCTCCCAGTATGCGCGTTGAACGGTGGTGCGCTGTCTCACACGTTCGACCTTTCAGTGTCGTGTTACACAATTCGCTAACGCTCGACGTCGTGTTTCGCAATCTCCCAGCCTTTCACTGTCGCCTTACGAGCTTCGTCGGTCGTCGAATGTCACATCTATTCATCAATCTTTCGCTGTCCACTTACGAAACGTGTCGGTCTCTCACTGATTGTCTCACGCCATTCATCAGTCACTCACTGTACCCGTACGCAATCCGTCAGCCTCTCAGTCACTCAGTGACGCCTCACGACATTCGTCAGTCACTCAGTCACTCACTGTTCCAGTACTCCATCCGTCAGTCCTTCCGTCTCTCAGTGTCGCCGTACGCAATGCTCCTCCTGTGGACCAGTGCCGCGCCACATCATTCATCCATCACCCGTTTCAGTTCCATCTCCCCTCCCGCTCCTCTCCCCTCCGTTCTCCCCTCCTCCATCCCCACGCCTTCCCTCGTCACCCTTCCGCTCTCCCCTCCCATCCCCACTCCTCTCCTCTCCCTTCCCCTCCCCCACTTCTCCCCTCTCTCCTCCCCCCCTCTCCTGCGCGCCTGTGCAGCGCCGAGGGCGGCGGCGGCAACACGGAGGAAGGCGAAAAGACGGGTTCCAGTAGCAGGAAGAGGTATGGGATGGGGAGGTAGGAGGTGGGGGGTAGGGGAGAGAGGGGGGAAGGAAGGGGAAGAGGGGGTGGGGGGAAGCGAAACGTGGGAGAAGGAGAGAGAGGGGGTGGGGGAAAGGGAAGGTGTTGGAGGGAGAGGGACCGGTTAAGTGAGGAAGGGGGGAGTGAATTGTCTATGGCGCCGAGAGTGACGGAGCGGCAGGGGCACGGAGGAATGCGAGGAGATGGGTCGAACAGCCGGAAGCGGTGAGGGGAAGGGGGGGATGCAAGGGGTGGGCGAGAGGGAGTGATGAGAAGAAAGGGTGAGGGGAAAAGAGCGAGAGCGAAAGGAGACAGGTAAGTGCGAGAGGGAAGGCAGGTCGTGCTGACCTGTCTTTGCTGTCGTGTCGTGTCGCCATTGGTTGTCACGTGTCGCTTTGGTTGACTCACGATTCGTTCTTGAGTTTTGCTACCACCTCCCCGCCCTGCCACGCTCTTGCGTTGTCGTTCTCCGTGTGCCAGGTCGCGGGATGAGGGCGCGGCCACTGCTGACGTGTCATGCAGCAAGGCCAACCGGGAGAAGATGAGACGCGACCGACTCAACGACAGGTGACACGTGGCAGGTGGTCATTCGGTGACAGGTGACAGGTGGATGCTGACTCCATGGTGGTGTATATATTCTTGAGAGATTTTCAAAATTACCCTGAAAGGGTAGGTTATTGATTGTACGACCGATGTAGTCATGACTGTGGCATTGCATTGCCAGGTGGAAACTGGCAGATGACAGATGGTAGTGGTGACACGTGCACATGCACACTCACTCACACACACACACACACACTCACACACTCACACACACACACACTCACTCACACACACACACACACTCACACACACGCACACTCTTACACACACACACACTCACACACACACACACTCACACACACACACACACACACACACACACACACACACACACACACACACACACGCCCACACTGCCATTGCCTATCAAGACGTAGTGGGATCTGTCAGAGTGCCCTTCATCCCCCCACCCCTCCCTCCTTTCCCCCGCCCCCCTCTTCCCTTCTCCAGGTTTCTGGAGTGAGTGGGCCATTGGAGCCCAGCAAGGCGTACTGGGAGTCGGTCACTGGAGCCGGTGGGCCAGCCTGTGCCGCAGTGGATGCATGCATCAGCGTACTGGGAGTCGCTCACGGTCCTCTTCCCATCCCAACCGCCCCCTTCCCACCTCACTCCCACCGCGCTGCAGGTTCCTGGAGCTGAGCCGGTCACTGGAACCAGGGAAAGCTCCCAAGGCGGACAAGGCGAGCATCCTGTGTGACGCGGTCCGCGTGCTCTCCCAGCTGCGCGCCGAGCGCGAGGCCCTCAAGGAGAGCAACGCGGCGCTGCAGGAGCAGATCAAGGAGCTCAAGGTGCGATGGGGGGCTGGGGGTCTGTGGGGGGGAGGGGTGTGCAGGGGGTTGTGCTGGGTGGGGAGGGGTTGTGGTGATGATGCTGCCCTCAAGGAGAGCAATGCGGCGCTGCAGGAGCAGATCAAGGAGCTCTCAAGGTGCGTTGGTGGGGGCGGGGGGGGGGGGGAGGAGAGAGGGGAGGAGATGAAATGGGGGAGGAAGGTGGCCATGCAGGTGAGGCAGATCACGTGGCCATGCAGAAGTGCAACCAAGCCTTCTGGTAATGAAAAAAATGAGGTTTTTTAAGAGGCAGAATAGCAGAGGGATAAGCGCTGCTGGGAGTGAGTCAGTCTGGAAAATCTTCTTTTATAAGCACAACAGGTAGACACTGCTGCATGTGAGAATACCGGCAAGCAACTCTTTCTCTTCCCCGTGCGCCTAGCACGATTCATGCGAGGAGAAGGCCTGGCCTAAATTCGTCTCAAAGCTTGCTTCTTTCCTCTCCTTTTCCCTTCTCCTGCTCCTCCCTCCCTCCTCCTGGTGTCCTGTCCCCCTTCCCTCCCGTCCATCCATCTGTGCAGGCTGAGAAGCACGAGCTCTGTGAGGAGAAGGCCTGACTCAAGGCCGAGAGTGAGAAGCTTCAGCAGCACTTCAACGGCTCCGCTGCGTTTGAAGTTCCCACAAGCAACTCTCTCTTCCTCTCTCCCTGCTCTTGCATCCGTCCGTGCAGGCTGAGAAGCACGAGTTACGCGAGGAGAAGGCTCGGCTGAAGGCCGAGAGTGAGAAGCTTCAGCAGCATGTCAACGGCTTTGCTGCTTTCAAGAGTTCTCACAAGTAACCCACCCCCACCACCCCCTCCTCCGTCCTTTGGTCCGTGCAGGCTGAGAAACATGAGCTCCGTGAAGAGAAGGCCCGCCTGAAGGTGGAGAGCGAGAAACTGCAGCAGCACGTCAACGGTTCTGCTGCTATTGATAGTTCTCACAAGCAGCCCGTCCCCTCCCCACTCTTCCTCCCCTGTCCGTGCAGGCTGAGAAGCACGAGTTACGTGAAGAAAAGGCCCGACTCAAGGCCGAGAGCGAGAAGCTTCAGCAGCACGTCAATGGCTCTTCTGCCGCTGCAGCAGCAGCTGCTGCTGCTGCTACCCCCACCCATCAGGCCACTCCCACCACCACCATCCCCGTCACCGCCATCCCTCTCCACCACTCTCCACCCACCGCGCCCGCCACGCCCATGGCGTACCAGCCGCACCCCCACGCTGCGGCCATGCATGCAGCTGCTGCTGCGTATGCGGCTCAGATGCAGCAGTGCCAGCAGATGGCTCTCGGCACTCCCAAGGGAGCACACATGGGAGGCATGACCACTCCCATGCCAGCTCCCATGTCTGCTCCTATGCCTACTCCCATGACTGCTGCTGCTGTGTCGCACGCTGTGTCGCATGCCGTGTCCCATCCAGTGGGTCAGCCTGTGCCTCAGCCGATGCATCAGCCAGGGGTGTTTGCGGGCGGTCCGCCGCCCATGGCCATGTGGCAATGGATGGCGCCTACCTCAGTTGACACCTCCCAGGACCACATGCTCCGGCCGCCTGTGGCTTAGATAGTACCTCCCCCAGTTGGCACTCACCTCTCCCAGTTCACACCTTACAGTACCTCATGCTCAGGCCAAGTGTGGTGTAAGAACTGTTGACAGCTGGCACATTGCATGATAACATGCTCTGTCCGCGTGTTTCTCTCAGTTTAGGAAGGATAATTGTTTCTGTGGCTTGGTTGTGGGTGGATGGACGGAAGAGTATTGGCCAATGCCCAGTATGATTATTTTGGTGTGGTGAGTTTTTCGAACAAAACTAGGATGGTGTTTTACTGGAGCTATATTAACTAACTCTCTTATCTGGTGCTTGGAGCATCAGTACACGGTTCAATCTTTCAATGTGAGGGGTGGTTTGAAAGGCCCTTAGATATCAGGAAAAAAAGCCCTGAAATTCCTTATTTTCAGGGGTTTTTTTTGTACCTGCACTGATTTTCCAGTGTTCAGATTTTTAGAGAGACTGATTTTTCAGCCTTTTTTTCTCAAAGGGGACTGATTCTTCAGCCTTTTATCGAAGTGTACACTGAATGCACATTCCGAACCCCTGCTGTAAAACACCGGGGACAAGTTGTGAACCATTTACTCAAATTTTTGCGTACATATAAGCATGTTAACCATCAAGCACCTAGCAACTCTGCAGCTAGTCGCCAGCACTATATGGTCGACCGCCTGCCAGCGTTGCTTAGAGGAGCCGCGCCAGCACGGGAGAAAGGCGACCTACCAACACTGCAAATCGACGGCATGCCAACGCTGCAGCAAAGCGGCTGTCCAGCGTTGCCCCGTAGAAGACAGCAGTGCGCACGCTCGTAAGTGCGCGCAGACGATTGGCCCGACTTGCACCGTTGTGCATTCGTCGGCTGTTGTCTGCGCTTGACGAGCCACATCGACTTTGGGATACCAACCCGAAGTCGCCTTCGTCATCGCGACCTCGACGACGTTCGCGTGCCTCCGCGACTTGTCAAGCAGGTTACCCGGTCGACCTGGTCGACCACCAGGTGCTACCGGTCGACCACCACTGCCTCTGGTCGACCACCACTACCTCTGGTCGACCACTAGGTGCCTCTGGTCTACCACCAGGTGCCTCTAGTCGACCACAGCTCCTATCAAGCTACCCCCTGGTCGACGGACCCCTTCCGTCAACCGGAACTGTCAGTTGTTGTCTCCGAGCTCCCCTCGTAGACCACTGCTCACTTGTCAAGTCGACGGACTGCTCCGTCGACCTCTCGGTCGAACTGCAGGTCGACGACTGCTCGGTCGACCTCCCAGTCGAACTGCAGGTCGACGGAGTGCTTCGTCGACCTCCTAGTCAAACTGCCCCTCCTGGTCGACGGCCCACCCGTCGCCCAGACCAGTCAGATGCAGCTGTCGAGCTCCCTGGTCGACAGCAACACCATAGCGGTCCCCTGCAGCCCGACGAAGCCTGTCAAGCAGCTCTCCCACTGTGAACAGCCAGCTGCTACTCTCGTACATCCGACCAAGTCGTCGGCGTTGCCCAAGCGAGGGCGGGGCCATCACTCCATTCCCATCAACACTCCCCTACTGTGCTCACGCTTGGGCCTGCAGCCCACACGGAAGTACTCCATGGAAAAACCTCGTCCTTAGCGTGCACCCCACACACCGCACGCCGTCAGCGCACCAGCCGTGCAGAAGGGCACGGCACCTAATGCTGCACCTCATCGTCGCCATCGCTGACGTCGGCCAGACGAACTTGGTCGATGGTGACAGAGCACCGGATGAAAGCCGGAAAATGGAGCGCCTTCGTCAGGAAGTCAGCTGGTTGCTCGATGGTCGGGATGTACTTCAGCACGAACTTCCTGTGCCTCACCATGTGCTGCAGCCAGGCGTAGCGTCGCTCCATGTGCGTGAGGTTGCCCGTCAGCCCCAAGCCCTCAGCGACCGTGATTGCTAAATTGTTGTCGACGTGGACGATGGTCGGCTTCCAAGCATCGAGCAACTTGAATTCCGCAGGGAGCGAAGTCGATGCCCCTCCTTGCCGGCGTCCGTGGCCGCGACGTACTTTGACTTCGTCGAGGAGAGTGTCGCGCACTTGATGCGCTGGCTCGACCAGGAGACCGCGGCCCCTCTGAAGACGAACACGTAGCCGGTGGTGCTCGTCCGGTTCTGCTTGTTGCCCACGTCGTCGGCGTCCACGTAGCCGATGAGCTCTAGCGACTCTGGTCCACCGCTGAACTCCAAGGCGGTATCGCGGGTGTCAGCGAGGTAGGCAAGGTAGTTGTCGACCTCGAGCCAATGCTGGTCGCTCCTCACCGTGAGGCCGCTTCCCAGCTTGCTGCAGGCGAACGCGATGTCCAGCCTTGTCGTTGTCGCCGCAAACTGGAGCGAGCCAACCTTCTACCGCCAGTACTCCTCCTCCTCGCGCTCCTGCGCCTCCTCGTCGTCGAATGTCAGTTCGGCGTAGGCGTTGACCGAGACCGCCCTGCTCCTCGTCAATGAAGCGCCTGCGCAGCTTGTCGACGTAGCCCTGTTGGTGCAGCCACAGCTTCCAAGCCGGCTTGACGCGCACGATCTCCAGCCTGAGGTACTTCTGCACCGGCGAGATCTCGCGCAGCTCGAAGGCAGCCTCCAGCAGGTCCTTCAGCTCCTTAAGCATCGCGGTGCTGCTGCTAGCAGCGAGCAGGCCGTTGACGTAGACCAGCACCCAGCAGGTCACACCATCGTCGCCGGCCTTGAAGTAGAGCGACTCGTCGACCTGGCTCTTCTTCTAGCCAGCGCCCAGCAGCACACTGTCAAGAGCCCTGAACCACAACAGCGGCGACTGCTTTAGCCCGTAGAGGCTTTTTAGCAGCTTACACACCCGGCCGGTCCCATCGTCAAAGTAGTCCGGCTGATACATGTAGAGGATTTTGTCGAGATTACTCTGCAGGAAGGCGTTTTTCATGTCGAGCTGCATTGTGAGGATCTAGGATCAAGCTCAAGAAAAGAGAGTTTGAATTGAATGATCCACTTGGGTACAACACGAGGCTATATATAGTCTCGACACAAGGCCAGTTACCCAGGTGTTATGCGAATGTTCTGAGGGTCACAAAGCGACCTGAAAAGAACCTTCCCGAACTCGGCGAAAAGCGATTCGGTGGAAACCGTATAGGCTTGAGTCTGGTACACGTAACCTCGTTCGGTGCTATAACTATAATAAAATATAGGAATGCTCATAACCTAGGAAATCAAGCATATCTATACGTGCTCCTTCATGTTATTGGAGTAGATATGAATGTCGTCCAGGTACACCACCATGCATTCGTCCAATAGGGGCCGTAGGATATGGTTTATCTCTGCGTGGAACGTCGCTGGTGCGTTGCAGAGCCCAAACGACATCCCTAGATATTTGTAGGAGTCGTATCGGGTACGGAACGCCGTCTTGTGGATCGAGTTGTCCGCCATCTTGATCTTCCAGTAACCTGATTGTAGGTCCAGCTTCAAAAAGAGTGTTGCACCACGCAGCTGGTCCACTAGGTCGTCTATGCGCAGTAAGGGATATTTGTTTTTTACTGTTTGTTTGTTCAGTGCGCGGTAGTCGATGCACGTTTGTAAACTGCCGTCTGGTTTTGGAGTGAAGAGAACTGGTGCACCGTAGGGAGAGGTGGATGGGCGAATCAACTATCTGTCCAGTAGATACTCATCTACTTCTTCATGTCTATCAATTCGAACAGACTTAGTCGGTATGGTGCACATGAGACAGGTTTTGCACCTGGTTCCTCCACAATCTCGTGCTCATGGGTGCGTGCTGGAGGTACTCATGCGGGTAGGTCGTCGGACATTATATCTTTGTACTACTCCAACACCTCCTTTACTGCTGCAGGTAGCTCTGTTTTCGACTTCTCCTCCTTTGCTGCTACCATAACCAGTGCTAAGTAACCTGTGTTTCTCTCATTCACCGTCTATTCAAGCCGTGCTAGCGTCGTTTCAGGAACGCTCCCTGTATCCGTCCAACTTCGCAGCTCCACTCGTTTCCCGTTGTTGTAGATGCTCGCCTTCCTGTTGACCCAGTCGATCTCGGAGTTGAACCGCTTCAAGAAATCTCGCCCCAAGATGAAATCTAAACCCTTGATGTTCGTGATCGGCAATGTCGGCTTCCACCCCAGCGCCAATATGTGCAGTTGCAGTAATGCTTTGCCATGGATGGGAAGTTTTGTATCGTCCACCATCGTTGCCGTGAACTTGGTCTCCTCGGAAGGTTCTCCAATTTTCTCCAACGTCCGGCGATCACACACTGAGTGAGATGCACCGCTATCCACCACTACCTGAAGGCATCGTCCTTCGCATAACACCTCGAGGAGTAGTGGTTCCTACTGCGCTGAGTATCCAAAGAGGGTCTCATTGATAGGATCATAGGGTGCATCAAATATATTACCATCCCTATTTCCTATACCTGACTCAACACTTTCCAACTTCACCTGTGGGTTATGAGGATTTTGCCGAGGCTTGTACAACTTCTCATAAGCCTGGAATTTTCATCTAAGCCTTTGCAGCTGTGTAGGCTTCACCTGTGGGCAACGAGGAGCCTAAACACTGTGCTGCGGGGAGAGAATGTTAACTCTACGGAACGCACGACCCTTTTCTACGCTCCGTAATGCTTTGCCCAACTTCTCAGATATTTGAATAATATCTAAAGGTTTTTTCTTAGCCTCTAACTCTCCCCTGAATTTCTCAAAGGCTTGAAAACCACGAGAAGTAGTATTCTTGGTTAAACTTATCTTTATAAGATAGCTATAACGAATTCTTAATTTCGTGGGTGTTCGGCTGGAGTTTCCCGAGCGGTGCAGAGTCTTTTTTCTCGGAGCCTCCGTTTGTCTCGGTAATTTCCCTTGATGCCGGCCAGTCGTGCCGTTTTATATTCGCGCCATCATTTTTTCATTTTTTCGCCCGCTCCGAAGTCGCCACGTTGCCGCCCTTTTTTGCTTTTCGAATCTTTACGCGATCGCCAGGTCGATCCGCGGCTACTGGCGATTCCCATTTTTTTACATCGGGGGTGTTGTACTGTTGCCGCACAGCAG